TTTCTCCTGTTTTTTCGTGGACTCCTATCAGTCTTATGTTATTCTTCTTTGCATCATCTAGCAGCTGCTGAATTGATTTCTCGTGGTCCCTTACTATTTTAAAGAAATCTTTGTTTTCATGGTCATTAACCTCACTCCTGTTTTCTATATGTGATATTCTATCTTCACATTCCCTTAATCTGCTGTGCAGTTTCAATGGAGTTTTTTTTTTTTTTGGTACCGGGGATCGAATTCAGGTCCTTGTGCTTGTGCAGCAGGCGGCGAAAGCACTGAGCTAAATCCCCGGCCCTCATCTACTTTTTTATCTGTTTCTGTTCTAGAGCCTCTAATCATGTCTTTCACTCTGCTCACCATCTCTGTAGTTATCTGGGAAATTATTTGTTTTGAATTTTTCTAGGGCCTCATTCATCTGTTTTGTTACTTCCTGTGCTATCAGTTCAGGGTGTCCAGGTGGTTGATTATCAGACTTTCCCACCTCATTTCCCCTAGAATTTACCCTTGGTGGGGTGGAAGTCTAAGTTTGTGCCTTGCTTAAATGTCTTTTCATTTTTGTTTTTGGTACTGTCCTTGGTTTAATTCCTGGGTTGATATTTTGGAATTGCTTATTGTAAGTAACTTTGTTGCTTGTATTTAGAACCCTTATGGAATGATTGCTTCCCAGAGGTGTCTTCAAAATATAGCTGGTCTTTAGGTTTTGAGTCTCTAACGTCTCTAAGATTATCTCATTTTCATTATACCAGGAAGGACAACTGATTAGATCAATCACAACACCTTAGCCCAAGTGATACAATCAGCAACACCATAGCATCAAGTACATCTTAGAAAAGGACAATTATTAATCTATCACCTTTAACTGTGTGAATGAAATCAAAATTGAGGACCAACCCAACATATGTTTATAGTGAATAAACTTCTTCAGGATGGGGAGTTAGAAGGAGTTGTCAAGGGAGGGATAGATACATAGAAGGATAGGGGAAGGTTAGCAGTGAGGCCAGAGGACACAGGCAAGAGAAGAAAATAGAGAAGAAAAGAAAAATAAAGAAGAAATACGAATTAAGGCCAGAACAGGAACAAAAAGGGAGATGAAGAACAATGTGGGACAGCAAGAGAGTGACTGAGAGAAAAGAAAGAAAAAAAAGGAGAAAAATAAAAATTTGAAGAGTAGGAAAAAAAACATTAAAAATAAGAACAAAAAAAATAATTTTGAAAATAACAAATAAAAATGAAAATGAAGGGCCTCCTTCAGGGTATGTCTCTGCTGTTACAATAGACAACGTGGGCAGCAGTGTGCAGATATAAGTCAATGAGTTTCAGCAAGCCAGTCGCAGACCCGTGGGATTCAGGCAAATTTCTGGCTGCAAGTCCCAACTTGAGCTCCCTGTCCTCCTGCAGGGTTGAACTCTGCAAGGTTCTACTGCAGGTTCCAGCTGCCCTTCCCCTGAAGATAGTCCAGGTTCCGATGGGAGGTGATGATCTGTCCAACTTTCCTAGTATGGTGGTCTGGTGTCCCCTGTGCCTTTGTAGTGTGGAACCAGGGAGCGGCACAGCCAGGAGGCCAGAAGCACGGCGGGGGTGGGGGGTGGGGGGTGGGCTGCAGGTGCCTCTGTGGCTAAACTGGTCGCCATGGGTGTGCCAAGTGGCCACGGGTCCTCACCTTCCAGCTGGTCACCAGTGGGCGTGGCATGGGTTGGACAGAGTGGGGCTCTAGGTGGCCAGGGACCTCTCTCTCCAGTGGGCTAAACTGGTCCGAGGCTGCACTTAAGACAAGGTTACTATGGACCTTTCCCAGTCCTTATCTCACTCACATTCTCCTGTTTCCAGCCTTTTCAAAATCTCCTTTCTCCCTGGTTTCTGTGCTGCCACATTCCTGGTTTTCCTGTAATCTCTCTGGTGGCTTCCTCCCATTTTCCCATGGGCCTTTTCTCTGGGCAATTCCATCTATGCTGTACCTGTGTTTCTTTTTGTTTTTCTTTTTTCACTGCTAGGGATCCTGGCCCATATGAGGGCCCATGCATACTAGGCAGGTACCACTTCGCCACATCCCCAGCCCTCCCTTTGGTTTAATGAACACCTTGGTTGGTGAGCTGCAAGTCTAATGTCAGCCCACCTCACTGTCCTGCCCTGCAGACTTGCAGAGCCCTGCCTGCTGGATGTCTCTGTGGGGCCATCTTCTGTGACCTTATCTTAGTGAATGTGACACCAGGTCCTCAGCCACTGATAGGAAACCTAGATGTCTTCCCTGAGTTCTCCCTAAGTCCCACCTGCCACCGTGTCTTGTATAGGACATGTGTCTATGTGTTTGAAACATGATCTTGTTGGGTAGCCCAGGCTGGCCTTGAACTTGCCATCTTCCTGCCTTAGCCTCCCCAGTGCTGGGATTACAAGTGTGTGGCACCACACTGGGCTCAAAGATCAAGTCAATGCACTCCCTAGTCCTCGCTGTTTAATTCCCACTGCAGTCATCTCTCCTCTAATTCCCACAACAGTCCTGAGAGCTCAGGCTCAGCACCATGCCTTCTCCATCATTCCCTCTGACTTGTCCAAGGTGAAGTGGATCTGGGCATCCTCTTGCTCAGGCCTCGAGTGCTCCCCGCTGTCCTTTGGCTATAGTTTGGATTCCTTAGTGCAGCCACCAGGCCCAAGTTTCTGTCTTATCTTTTTTTGTGTGTGGTGCCAGGGATCAAACTCAGGACCTTGTGCTTGCAAGGCAGGGGCTGTGCCACTGAGCTATCCCCAGCCCCTCATCTCTTGCCCTTACCGCTAAGTATCAACTGAGACGAACTGCCCCAGCTCTTGAGAGCTCAGTGCCTCTGCTCACTTCGTGTATCTTTCCCTCCCTTTCCCTGCAAACCCCTCCTTCCCATCCCGCCTGGTGTTTTTCAGGTCTCAGGCTAACCTAGCCTTCTAGAAAGCTCTCTCCTAACCTTTGCCTAACTCTAGCTGGATTAGCTGTTTTGCAGTGGGCTCTTTTTATTTTTTAAAATTTATTTTGGTTTTTTGAGACAGGGTCTCACTTTGTAGCCTAGGCTGGCCTTGAACTCAAGGGGGTCCTCCTGTTTCAGCCTCCAGAGTGCTGGGATTACAGGGATGTGTCACCATGCCGATTGCAGTTGGCTCTTACAGCACTTCATGCTTTTCCTGATGGGGCAGTTTTTACACTTCAGCTTTCCTTTCTGTCTCTGTGTAATTACAAACTCCTTGAGGTCGATGACTGTGTCTTGTCTTACACCATACCCTCAGCACTGAGCAGATGGTAGACAGGTAGAAGTGCTCAGGAAGTGTCTTCCAGAACAAAAGACCTTTGGACAGGTCACATGATAACAATGAAGCAGATTGGAGAAATTAAAGCACCTGAGAGGTGGAGACTTGCTGGTGGGTGCTGTTACCAGGCTGCTGTGCAGGAGTCCATGAAAAGCAGGCAGCTGCCAGCATCATTTACCTGGGCTCATCCCATGCCAGGGTCACATGAGATACGGCAGCTTTGAACAGACTTTCCATGTGTTCGAAGCCTCCACCTGTGGGTATAGCAGCATTACAGAAGGAACTGTGGGCTGAGATCTGGGTTATAGTCTTGCCTCTGCCCACTAGTTATCTGAATTACCTCAGCCATTCCTACTCTATTATGGATTTTGCACTGGAAATAGTATAGTTTCTAAAATAGGGCACAGTTGGGCAGGGTGGCACATGCCTGTAATCCCAGGAATCAGGAGGCTGAGGCAGGATGATTGCCTTGAGTTTAAGGCCAGCTTTCACTACACAAGACCTTGCCTCAAAAAAAAAAAAAAAAAAAGGTAGGGCAGGGATTTAGCTCAGTGGTGCCACTGCCTGCCTCGAAAACTCAAGGTCACGAGTTTGATCTCTGGTACCAAAAAAAAAGGTAAATGCAGATGCATATACTACTTCCTTAAACAAGGCTGGGGATACAGCTCAGTGGGACAGTGTTGGCCTAGCATGTGTGAAGCCTTGGGTTTGCTCTCCAGCACTGCAAAAAACAAAGTAAAACAAAAACAAACAATAAAAAGACCTGTATACACCTACTGCATGCTTGGTGGTGTTCTAGGTACTGAGGGTCCAGCAGTGAATGAGTCATAACAGGTCCCAACTTCCTGTTGGGGAAGAACTGTATGATCCCTCCCAGCTCTGCCCAGGTGCAAATCTGTGCACAAAGGCCTTCCTGGCCTCTTCTCCTGTGGAGCTGCCTCCCTCCCAAATTCAACTCTGGGAAAACAGGAAAAGGCCCAGTATCATTTACCTTTTGTTTGCAGCCCAAGATGTAACTCTCCAAGCAACTGTCTTGTAAGATTTTTATCTCTTGTGGAATGAAAGGCTCTGTGTTGGAACTTGAGGCAATTACGAGACCTGGCAAGATATTGGGGCAAAGTGAGGCACTCTGGCAAACAGACAGGAGGGGCAGGGTGGCATTCTCTGAGTTAGGTATTGTTTAGGTTTGCCCCAGAGGGCAGGCCCTTGACAGGCTCTTTCTCCCTTCTGGATGTGAAGATCTCCTGGCCACACCTCCTACCCTTCACAGAGGGAAGGGCCTTCAGTCTTAGGGTGCAGTTCCTACCACGTCCATGTCCGGAACCCTGAGTGGGAACAGGTGGTACAGCTGTGGGGAAGGGAAGCCACAGGCTGTGAGTAAACAATTCTTCTGGGCAGCACCTGACTTCCAGCTCTAGACCTCATTAGTTAGGTGATTTGCAGGTATGGGATGAAACTAATAACCCCCTAAAGTATTTCAGGGAAAACTATGGACTGTGAGGTTGGCACAAGGTATATACCTCTAGCCCCAGGTGGGAGGCTGAGGCAGGAGACTCACTCAAACCCAGGAGTTCCAGGCCAGACTGGGCAAGATCATGTAAACAAACAGGCCAGGCATGGTGACACATCCCTATAACCCCAGCCTCTTGGGAGGCTGAGGCAGGAAGATCACAAGTTTGATGCCAGACTGGGCAACTCAGCAAGATTTTGTTTTAAAAAATAGAAAGGACAAAAAATTAAAAATAAAAAGAGCTAGGGCTGGGGATTTAGCTCAGTGGTGCCACTGCCTGCCTTGCAAGCACAAGGTCCTGAGTTCGATTGCCAGTACCAAAGATAAAAACAATAATAAAAGGCATGGTGGTGAACGCCTGTAATCCCAGCACTCGGGAGGCTGAGGCAGGAGTATCGCAGCCAGTTCAAGGCCAGCCTGGGCTACACAGTGAGTTCAAGGCCAGCCTGAACTGCACAGGAAGATCATATCTCAAAATAAATAAAGGGGTTGGGGGTGGGGTTAGATCAGTGGTGCCACCGCCTGCCTCGCAGGCCCAAGGTCCTGAGTTCGATTTCTGGTACCAAAAAAATTAAAAAACAAACAGTCTCAAAAATAAAAAGCAATGTAGATCAGTGGTAAGGTGCCCTGGGTTTGAATCCCAGTATCATAAAAACAAAACTCTGAACTGTAATGATAATATTCGATAATTAAATGTGAAGTCAAAAATTGAAACTTTTGACTACATAAAAGTAAAACCAGCTATTAAAGTTTACTGTTTGTCTCCTTACCATGAGACAACAGTTATATGGAATTATGTTAGATTGACACAAACAATTCCTTATTATTTATTAGTACATATTAGTTTCACAGAATAATTTCATTTTGACATATCTGTACATGTGTACAGCATACTTTGGCCATTTCTACCTCCCAATATCCCCTTGTTCCTCTCTCCTACAATTCCTTGTTACCAGCAGACTCCACTTTTGGATTTTGTAGTATGTGAGGAGATAGCTGCAGTGATGGCGAACCTTTTGTAGCTTTCGGTGAGAACAGCCCGATGCAGTACATGTGCCATAGGTTCGCCACCACTGAAGTATACAGTTCAAAGCCAGCTCCCTTGTTAACTACAACACTGTACTGATGTCTTACCTGCTGTGAGTCCCCAACTGTAAGATACATCAAAATCAAGAGGTCCAACTGTACTGTTTTATGCCCAGAAGTCACCCTCACCAGTTGCTTCTGGGGCTGGTGAGCTGTGCAATCCTGAGAGAGCAACCATGGCTTCCTCTCCTCAGTCACGTGGGTGTCCCCAAGAATCCAGCTTTCCCCCAGCATAAAGGACACTTTCCCTCTCAGAGGCTCTGTAGAAAGGAAGATGCAGGTGATCCTTCTGCACTTGAAGGAAGCAGCAGCCTCTCCTCCATGCTTGTGAGCCCTGCTGGCCAGGCCCTGGGAGGGAGGGCAGTGGCAAGGTTTTTCTTTGGTACTGGAAATCGAACTCAGGACCTTGCACCCAGCCCGGCAAGGTTTATTTTTCCCAGGTACTTAATTCATTTTGCTGATAAACAAAAGGCTTTAGGATTTTGCTTTGTATAGAGCTCTGGGTTGGGTTTGGTCGATATAACATGGTGCTTTTGAAAGAATCTCTGCTTTAAAACATGACTAAAGAGTCCAAATCCACTGTGGCCAGTCATAGCTAGAGTCTTGCTCTGAGCTCCAAGCTCTGTTCTGCATGGCGGGGGGGATGACATATCTGCAGCACCATCAGAAGGATTATAATTAATGCCTGCAAGTGACTGGCGCACAGAAAGTGCAAAGGAGATGACAGATGAGCCACAGGATCCATCTTCAAGCCCAAACCATGGTATTAGAAGCTGGGGATGATGAGACACAATGATGAACAGGAAGGTGTAGACAGGGAAGTGTCTACTTCAAAAAATATTCAGGCTCTTTTTCTTGGTAGGATATACAAAACTGAATGACCAAATGTGCGAGGCCTTCACTGACAGCGTTTCACAAAGCATCTGTGTTGACCTTGAGCTCATTAATTTCTAATCCCAGGTAAAGAAACATCCAACTCAAAAACATTCTGAAATAAGTTCAAATACAAAAGGGCCAAGAGGAAGTGATAGTGTCTGTACTGCAGTTATACAAATGAAGTGACAGAAAGATAGCAACTGCTTCTAAATTCTCACTGAAAGTCTGATTTAGAGGTTCACTGCAGTTCAGGTATTTTCTTTTCTTTTTTTTTTGGTACCGGGGATCGAACTTGGGACCTTGAGCTTTTGAGGCCGGAACCACTGAGCTAAATCCCCGGCCCCAGTTCAGGTATTTTCAGTGTTTCCCTTGTTGGATCATCCAGATGACCGGTGCTAAAAAGTACTAGAAAAAAAAAAAAGTACTAGAGACAACTGCTTTCACACACGGGTCCCGCTTGTTTGGGCTGAGCAGTATCAATATGGAGAATTGCAGGCTGCTACTTCTTATGATCCAATTTGCTCTCAAGTCACTAAGAGTGGGCTGAATTATCAAGCAGCCCTGATCTACCACATGTTCCAGGATTTCCTTCTGCCTGAGCTGTGACCATGAGCGGGCCCTTATTTTCACTGGACAGACTTACTGAGTGAGGTCACCCCTCCCTGTTAGGCAGCATGTGTTAGACATTTGAACTTCTGAGATTAGGGCCAATTGCTACTGGGGTTATATGGATTTATAATGAAGCAACTCTTAAGTTCTTAGTGAAGACAAAGGCAAATGCTGTCTAAGGCAAAACTGCCTACAACACAATAAATTGTTCTCCTAATTGTGCAGTGTGGACCTGGGGTTCCATGAGTGAGATAAAAAAATACCTGTTAGCCTTCCAGGTTTTTCCCTATCATAGTATGAAAACCAACTCAGGTATTGGTTAAGATAAATTCAGACATTTTGGTAAAGACAAAGATCTCTGAGAAATATTTTTTAGAATCTTGTAAAAAGTAATTTGGCCTCTTCTCCCTATCCCAAATCCTCAGACTTTGAAAGGATAAAGACACCAATTTGGAGCTCTTTCAAAGGATTTATTTGCTACAGAATTGCTTGAGTCAACCAAGGAGCTGAACCTTGGATTTCTGTATGTAAAAAGATTTAGCTCAGTGCTGTATTTTACAACTGCTACAACATGAAACATTTAAAAAGCAATTGGCGGCAGGGGGACAACCAGCATTTGGCATATCTAGAAGAGATTAGAAAAAGAATCTACATAATTAGATGTTTAAAAATAGGGAACAAAATGAACATTTAAAATTTCCTTTGGACAGGTCCTGAGTTGAAATCATGTTCATGTTTAAAAAGAAATGTTTAGGTCAGAAATGTGTAACTATAGATTCTGACCTTGGACTTGACTGGTGAAAATTTCCAGGTGCTGTATGAATGACAGGACACATACCAAGCAGCTAGCCAATTCTGCCATGTGTCTTACTTAGCTTGTGAAACTGTGTAAGTATTGCTTTTTAAATATTTTTTTTTTGCTGGGCATAGTGGCGCATGCCTGTAATCCCAGCACTTGAAAGCCTGAGGCAGGAGGATTGCCATGAGTTCAAAGCCAGCCTGGGCTACACAGTTCAAGGCCAGCATGAACTGCACAGCGAGACCCTATCTCCCCCCCCAAAAATTAAAAAAAATATATTTTGTGGTCCTGGAGAATGAACCCAGAGCTTTAGGCATTACAGGCAAGCACTCTATTACTGAGCTACACAACCAGCCCTATAAATATCTCTTGAACCTAAATTTCCTAGTTATCTGAAACCAACTGTCTTAATGTGATTCCCAATCCTTTTTTTTTCTTGGTACTAGGGATCGAACTTAGGACCTTGCCCTTGCCAGGCAGGCACAGCACCACTGAGCTACATCCCCAGTCCACTGCCAATACTTTTTCAAGCAAATAAACAAAAACTTTCCCTGCAAGATCACATATTTAAGTATTTGTTGCCCTTGGACAGATACAGAGAAACGAAGTATGGAGGTAAATCAGTAGTTCAGTGATGTAGCAGAATCTCTGGGTGCCTGTGTAAGCTGTAGAAAGTCCCTCATCGGCTCTGCACCGGCTGTGCCCCAGAGGTGACCATCCAGGTGACATCATCCTGAAGAGGGTGTGAACCCCAGCAGCTGCTCAATGGGTTTAAACCGCCACTCATCGGCCTCCAGCTCTTCTACCAAACCAGCTAGTTTTTCCATCCGAGCAACTTGCTGATCTGTGGAGTGAAGGAGGTACTACAATGGCACAATGCACTTCCTGTGAGAGCGTCACCCATCACTAACATGATGACTATTTAAAAAATAATTTCTGGATGGATTTTCCTCTCTCAATATTCTAGTAATGGGGTCTCAGTCTATGTTGGTCAGAAGACTTTAATCTTTTTCTTTAAAAAAAAGGAACATTCCTAATCATTCTCTATTTATCTTTACTGCCTTGTTTTCTGCAGTAGTGGGGATGGAGCCCAAGGGCCTCACCTGTGCTAGGCAAGTGCTGTACCATTTAGCTCCAGCCCTGGCCCCATCCTCATTGTTTCTGACTACACAGTTGAAGGTTGAAACACTCCACATCGATATAAACATTTGATCATTCTGGATATTTTTTGTATAATAGGTACTTTTTCTCTTGCAGATGTTAAGCCATCAAGGGTCATACATTCCTACATGTTCTTTCTTCAGTCACATCACGGAAGCCTCAGTGACTAAGTTTCTTACAGAGGGTAACATCTGGATGCTCTATAAGTTTCTCATAATGTAAAAGCCATTTAAAGGGAAGGGAGAAATGGAGAAAAGAGTTAGGATGTTATGTACATGCACCAATTCGCCATGTTGAATATAATCATTATGTATTACAGGGGCTGGGGATTTAGCTCAGTGGCACCATGCCTGCCCGGTCAAGTGCAAGGTCCTGAGTTCAATTACTGGTACTGAAAAAAAAAAGGTTATATATTGCAAATGTACTAATAAATTTTTTTTTTTTTTGGTACTGGGGATCGAACTCAGATCCTTGCGCTTGCACAGCAGGTGGCGAAACCACTGAGCTAAATCCCCAGCCCCTAATAAAAAAATTTTTAAAAATAGGGCCGGGGATTTAGCTCAGTGGTTCTGGCACCTGCCTCTCAAGCACAAGGTCCCGAGTTCGATCCCCAGTACCAAAAAGACCCCCCCCCAATAAAGTAAATATGCTTCAAGGTCTTATAAAAAATTTTAAAATACAAATATCATAGGGGTGGGGATTAAGCTCGGCGGTAGAGCACTTGCCTAGCATATGCCAGGCCTGGGTTTGATCTCCAGCACCACAAAAAACAAAACCAAAACAAAAAAATGAGCACATTTTCAGCCTATGCTCAATCCTAGGAGCAACTACAGCTCTCTCCTGTCCATACTGCTTTCCTTGGAGAAAGCTCCAGCATCTACTGAAGGCCTGGGGAGGCCTGATGGAGCAGGACATGTGCTACCATGACCTCAGAGTGCAGAAGATGATGATGATGATAACTCAAGGGCCACAACAGAACACAGAATTTTCTTCAGAAAGGAGAGGAAGGTAAGTGCGAGATCCTGAGTTCGATCCTCCATACCAGAAAAAAAAAAAAAGAAAAAAGAAAGGAGAGGGAAAAAGCAACCCCAGAGGAGCAGGAAGCACTGACGCCCTGACAGAACCAATCACGTGGCTCCAGCTTTAGGCCTGAATGTGGACATTCTGTCTGGATTAAGACCTTTGAATGTTTTTTAAATTTAGGAAGTCTACAGGCCAGGGATTTAGCTCAGTGGTGCTGCTGCCTGTGTTGCCAAGTGCAAGGTTCTGAGTTTGATCCCTGGTACAAAAAAAAAAAATTTAGGAAGTCCACTTAAATAGCCATGCTGAGTTGGGGGGTTTCTGCCACGCCGATGACGCTTCAGAACCTGTGTCCCCAGCCCTGCACACTGACTCATAGTCCAGCACGCCACGCTCTTGCGCTTACCGTGCTTCACCTGTTTAAGCGTGGATGCCACCTGGTAACTGAAAACGGACTCACAGAGGAATCTTTCAGAGCCATCTACAAACAAAGGAGGAAAAGGTTTTAGTCTGCTCTAAGGGTTTTTATGGCTTCTGATAAACCAAGTAAACCTTTTAATTCTTTTCTCTGCTATTACATTTGGGGTCTAGTTTTCAATGCTAACAAAGAGATTCTGTTTCATGTAAAACTAACACTATTTGGTATAAAAGCTACTTGTTCTATTCCTAGGATATTAAAATAGTCCCTCTAATTGTTTAAGACTTTAAAAATAGTGTTTATAAAAACAAAAACAAGAAACCTCAGGCTGACGTCCTGGTCAACATTTTCCCCTCTCATCCTGAAAGTTTCTTAATGTTCTTTTCTTCTGTACATCAGGTAAACACAGGTAAACACTGGCAGCTGACACATCTGGCCATGTGACACCTCTGCTATCAAAACCCAAGGTACAGTACACTAAGGCTCCAAATCCTTCTCATTCTAAAAACAAAGTGAAGGGAGAAAGCTGTTGATTTTTAATATATCCAATTACATCATTATGACTATCGCAAAACACTGCTAGGAAATTTCATTCTGTAAACGCAAACTGTAACCTTGATTTTCCAAATGAACCAAAACATTGCAATTTGGCTGACGATAAGAGTATGGTGCAAGTTCAGAACCTAGCACTGTTACAGTGCCAAGAGCTGCCACCAAGAAGGTGGCTAACTGGGTCAGCACAACACTTGGGAAATGTTTATGAAATAAGCAAGATCATGTTGTTCCTCACCAGGCAAAGGCTGGTAGAGCAAAACACATCCCCAAAGATATAAAATTCATGTAGGAAAATTGGATTTTTTAAGGGCAGCAGAATTAATTTGGGGCATGTATCTTATCGCAAAAATTTTCAAGTAGAGGAAAAGGACACAGCTGTCTTTTTTTAAGCAGTACTTCCTGCCAGGACCACTGAATGTCACGCATTCATCCATCAATCACAGAGCGGTGTGGCTGCCAGGTATTAAGTGACAGGGAGAGATGACTAACGTTCTGGCCTCATGCTGAGTTTCACACAAGGCATACTTTCAGAAGTCATGGTAATCAATAAGAAAAACTATAGACATTGTGTCCAGTGGCTTGGATACACATCCAAGAGGGCGTCCTTCCAATGTTATCTTCAAATTGAGGCCAAAAAAAAAAAGGAAAAGAAATGAATCCACTTTTTTTTTTTTTGGTACCAGGGATCGAACCTGGGACTTTGCGCTTTCGAGGGAGGTGGTGGAACCACTGAGCTAAATCCCCAGCCCAAGAAACGAAAGTATAATTCTTAGGGTGTACACTATAAGGAGAATTACACTGGGTAAATTTAAGCCTCTTTAATTCGTTCTTTCAGTAGTGGGGATTGAACTCAGGTCCTTTGTACTACTGAGGCTACATCCTTAGCCCTTGAAAAAAAAAATTTGAGAGTCTTGGACTGTACTAAATTGCCTCAGTTGCTCCAGGCTATGCTTGATTTTTCAATCTTTCTGCCTCAGTCTGCCAGAGGCTATGATTATAGGTGCTCGCTGCCACTCCCTGCTCAAGCCTCTCTTCTACATATTGTGTAATGTACAGGATACAGTCCTTTCCCTTCCACCCACCCCCACCTCTCTGGCTGAATCTAAGTCATTTGTGAGCAGTCTGTCCAAACTGAGCAAAAAAATATTTCATCCTTAATCAACTAGATATTCACTAGCTCTCTGGATTCTTTTTGGTGCTGGGATTAAACCTAGGGCTTTGTATATGCTAATCACAGGCTCTACCACTAAACTACACTCTCAGCCCCTGACTGTCCAATTTAAAGATCTAGGCAAGTTGATGACAGAAATGAGTTGTTTTTTTTTTAGATACAAGCAAGTGGTAGTACACAACTATGAATTCCACTATGTGATGAGGAAACTTGACACCAATGATGCAATTTATTACAGCTCTTCTGTGAAAATGATATGCCGGCACTCATTATTCTATTCATATCTTTGCTTAAAGAGTGGAATTGTAACTCAAGTTTAAATTTAGAAAGAGCAAAGCACACAGAAGTAGCGTTTACCTCCCAGGTGGCTTGACCCTGAATTTTAGGATCTCATTTGCAAGGCAGTACAATTACAGGCTGTAATGATGAAGTCACCGTGTACATGGAAGCTCTTGGAAGTGCTGCTTCCCACATACGTTTAATCACGGGATGATCAGGGTAAAACCCTCAAGTTATAACATTTGTACATTTCCCTTGGTAATGAACTTCAAAACAAAAAGACGTGAGCTTATCTTTCTAAAAGGTACCCACAGATCACTGCCATATCGTGTGCATATAGAACACACTTCTGCTGATTTGCAGCTCTGCATTCACCACAAAGACCACTGATTCTTAGCCACATCCTATTAGAGGTGATACCCTTACCAATCTGAAGCCTGAAATTTCTTCAGAGAGGAGTCAGCCTGGGCCAATCTGTCTTCTATTTAGAAATTGTAATCAAATCCTTTGTAACACACCAAGTAGCAATACATCAGCCTTCCTCTTAACGGATAAGCGAAGATTACAAAAAGTGAAAAAAGTTCAGTAAATTTCCTAAATCTAACCCCATCACCAATGCCAATAAATACGATACTAACAGATTCGTTTAAAAGAATATTACCTCACAGCAGGAAATTGGACAGTGCCAGGTAATCACTAAAATACAGCCACTTCTAGGCTGGAAAGCTGTCTCTAATTTGCTCACTAATAAGTGGGTGAGGACAGTGCTAGCCGAGGGCAGGAGAATGTTAAAAACTGCTGTTAGTTGCTCACCTGGGGTGTCTATTACCAGAGAACAGATGCATCAAGAAGTTAATTCTCAAGGTTAAGTACAGGTTATTGGATTTACTATCCTAGACTTTATTTTTTTTATTTTTAAATTTTTTTTGGTACCGGGGATTGAACTCAGGACCTTGTGCTTTCGAGGCAAGCGGTGGAACCACTGAGCTAAATCCCCAGCCCTATCCTAGACTTTAGAAGGATGCAAAATCAAGGTAAACCTGTTAATATCATAAACAGCATTCAACCTTGACTCCTAATTGCTTTTTTTTGGTACCAGGGATCGAACTCAGGACCTCATGCTTGCCAGGTAGGTGCTGTGTCCTTGAGCTAAATCCCCGGCCCCCCTAATTGCTTTTGTTCCTCACTCTCCACAGGCAACCCTTCCTACTCTGTTTTCCCATTCCATTAAACTACAGCAGAAAAATGGTTTGGTGCATGTGCATTTCACTCACTGTGTAACAGTATCACCCATCACCATGGCAGAAAATGTTTCCAAATCTAACACCCTTGCTAACTCACGTTTAGGAGTACTATGTGGGAGGATATCCACAGGACATGTGTAAACACTATGCTGCTATATGGGAGAGACCTGAGCCTCTGCTGATTTCAGTATGAACGGGACACAGTGGTGGTGTGCAGCGGGAGGTGGTATGGGCTGATGGTAGTCCTAGAACCAACTATCTGAAGATACCAAGAGATAATTTGGCCAAGATGGTTCAGAGGTTTCCATCTCTATTTTCCATACTGTGTCTTTACATGTAAGCAGTTCTAAAATTACTGGTAAAACTTTAAAGCTAGGTATTCACAGAATCTGCTGGGCACAGTGGCGCCTGCCTGTAACCCCAGCACTTGGGAGGCTGAGGCAGGAGGATTGCCTTGAGTTTGAGGCCAACATAGGCTACACAGAGAGTTTGAGACCAGCCTGCACTACATAGCAAGACCCTGTTTCAAAAAACAAAAACAAAATAAAAAAGTGCATAGAATCACAACTGTACACTGTGAATTTAAACTTAAATTCATTTTACAACAGAACTCAACATAGTCCTCCATGAAGCAATAAAAAACCATCTACAATGAGAATATCAACATTCAGATTAATCTCCCAAGGCTTTCTTCAATGTTTCCACACTGCATCCTGATGGAAGAATGCTGACAGCTCTGAAACTATGGTAGCGTCTGGTGTATTAAAATTCCTCTTGGGCCAGGGATTTAGCTCAGTGGTTCCGGCGCCTGCCTCGAAAGCCCAAGGTCCCGAGTTTGATCCCCAGTACCAAAAAAACCCACAAAACCCCATAAAATTCCTCTTGTGGGCCAGAGATTTAGCTCAGTGGTGCTGCGCTTGCCTTGTAAGCGCAAGGTCCTGAGTTGAATGCTCGGTATCAAATAAAATAAAATAAAATAAAATTCGTCTTGTAGGTATAATTTAAATGACTTTAATCTTAGAGTGCTATTGTTAAGCACTGATTTCTCTTCTGCTGCTATAAAACTCATTAAGCAATGTAAAAGTCTTCAACTTTTTTTTTTTGGTACCAGGGATCAAACTGAGGACCTTCCTCTTGCAAGGCAGGCATGGTGCCACTGAACTAAATCCCCAACCCTCACCTTTTTTTTTTTTTTTTTGGTACTGGGGATCGAACTCATGACCTTGTGCTTGCAAGGCAGGGGCAGTGCCACTGAGCTAAATCCCTGGCCCCCCAGCCCTTAACTTTTCATTTGTTTTGTGGGAAACTTTCTTAATACATCTCTGCTGCAGATAACTGAAGTCCTAACATATTTTTAATGCCAAATATAGTAAACAAGGCCCTTAATGTTTTCTATCTCCAGCCAGACTCAGTAAAATTAACTTGATTATTCAGTTAACACAAATGAATAAAATGAAAAGGCAAGGGCATCTATTACTAATTATGTTCACTAACCTGGTCGGTCACCTACTTCACTGCTGATCAGAACCTGAACCAGCTGTACAGACCCTAACAGCCCTACGGTCTTCCTGGGTTTTCCCATCACAAAGGATTCTTCTGTTTGCCCTGGCTTGCTAGGGGTATAACTCAGTAGGTATTCCTGATGATTTGCAAGACCCTGGGTCCAATCCCTAGCACTGCAGAAACAAAAACCGAAACAAGAATCCCAGTGTTTGGCCTAGCTTAGCCCCAAACTGCTTTTTATTATACTTCGATATAAATAAATAAAGATCACCCCAAAAAAGTTGACTTATAGTTTTTCTTTCTCAGAAACAGTCCCAAATGAGTTTTTAAATATATCATATAAATATGCAATATTTAAAGTAAAAAAACAATATATAATTGAGCACAAAACTGCTTAACTCAGGTAGATTTTGAATTCTTTTTTTGGTACCAGGGATCGAACTCAGAACCTTGTACTTGCCAGGCAGGCACTGTGGCACTGAGCTAAATCCCTGGCCCTAGATTTTTAATTCTTAGTGGATTCTCTGCCAATGTTTTCAAATATAATATGATGAGATGATTACTTTAATGAGAGGACCCTGGATGTTGGTTGAAAAGGAAGATTTTTTAAACTGGATGTGGAGCATATGCTTTTTTTTTGGTACCAGGGATTGAACTCACAACCTTGTGTTTATGAGACAGGCACAGTGCCGCTGAGCTAAATTCCCAGCCCATGGAGCATATGCTTTTATCTCATTTTGTGTTATGCACACATTTTTTTCTGGTACTGGGGATTGAACTCAGGACCTTGAGCTTACAAGGCAGGTGCTGGAACCACTGAGCTAAATCCCCGGCCCCTATAATTTTGCTTTTTTTTTTTGGTACCGGGGATCAAACTTGGGTTCTTGCGCTTGCGCAGCAGGGGGTGAAACCACTGAGCTAAATCCCCGCCCCGGAGAATATGCCTTTAATCCCAGCACTCTGGGAGGTTCAGGTAGGAGGACTGCAAGTTCTAGCCCAGTGTGGGCAACTCAGCAAATAGCAAGGCTGTCTCTCAAAAAAAGGGGGGAGAGGTGCAGCTCAGTGCAAAGGCCTTGGTTTCAATTCTCAGTTAAAAATAAAACCAAACAGGGGCCAGGGATTTAGCTCAGTGGTTCTGGGGCCTGCCTCGCAAGCGCAAGGACCTGAGTTTGATCTCCGGTAACAAAAAAAAAAAAAAGAAAAAAACTTTAAAAATAAAACAAAACAAACTTGTGCTATGTTAATTCAGAATCTCCAACTTAGGCTCAGAAAGATACATTTAAAATAAGCTCCTCAGATAATTTTTATTTTATCAAGAATTACTTGTCCAAAAAAAAAAAAAAAAGAATTACTAGTCTAGGCCAGGCTTGGAGATGCATGCCCGTAATCCCAGTACTAGGGAGGCTGAGGCAGGATTGCCATGAGTTCAAGGTCAGAGCTGAACTATATAGGAGACCCTGTTTCAAAAAGAAACAAACAAACAAACTAGTCTAGCCAGGTGTGGTGGCATACATCTGTGATTCTAACACTTGGGAGGTTAAGGCAAGAGGATTTGAGGCCAGCCTGGACTACCTAGTGAGCTTTGTCTGAAAAATTAAGTTTAGCTCCTAAAGTGGTATGAATCTGATGAATTACAGTTGCCAGTGCTATTTCCTGCCTGCTGCCTGTGCCCTCATCTTTGCCAGCCAGTCTGCAAATGTGTGCAGAGTAAGGTAGTGGAAGACTAGGTGCAAATCCGGCTCCAGGGTTAGAAAAACCACACAGCATCATCCGGCAGTGGGGCAGGAGACTTGTCTTCATGAAATCCTGGTGCAGTATTTCCTCTTAGAACCTCTCTGACCAGGTTAACTGATCTGCAGACTAATTGCACTAGGAAACAAAATGTATCAAACTTACTAACTACAGGAAGTTGGACAGGTTTCAGGATAAAGCAAAGTGAGAGCAAGAGAATTCCTGGCTCCAGTGCTGACTCTGCCTTCCACGTGGTCAAATCACTTAGCTTTTTTGGATCTAAGTCACTCTAGATGATCTCCTTGATTTGTAAACTCTCAGCTTAAAAATTCTAATTCTGGAACAAGATTTGTTTTAAAAATCTTCTCTGAGATAGGGACAAGAGATGAAATGTGGAGCTGAAATCAGGGTAAATTCATCTCTTAATACACTTAATAGCTTCTTTTTTGGGGGGGCGGGTAGCGGGGATCAAACTCGGGACCGTGCGCTTATGAGGCAGGAGGCGGAACCACTGGGCTAAATCCCCAGCCCCAATGGCTTCTTTACAATTAATATTCACTGCAGGTCAGAGTCCAATTATCCAGCAAAAAGCAGCATGAGATCAATCACCTTCTAGCATCTCCCCAGCTCCTTTGGGGTAGTTGAAAAGGGCTTTCCGTGGTGGGGCGAGGTCTGAGACACTGAACCCAGATCCAGAGACGGAACTTCCACTGACCCCCGCAGCTGAGGATGACGACGAAGAGGCAGCCATTCCTCCAGTAGAATTCTGACTTCCCTACAGAGAAGGAAAAAAACCCAAAAACAAAAAACAGCTGTTGGCAAGTTTATGGAAGTGAGATGGACAGCATTTTGTTCCAGCTGCCATAAGGGCCAGCACAGTTTTGTAAAGAATTAGCTCCCCCTTCTTCTACCCTCTCTAGTCCCACAATCTTTTATTGATGCTTCACATTAAATGTCACTTGGGTGTTTGTCACTTAGGGTTTTGAAGCAAAAATATGCTGAAGAGTAATTTGCCTACGTAGAACACCATTTCCCACCATTATCAAAGTGTTTCTGTCATTTGGGATTGACTGTGTGTGATTTATGAGCTACAAAGGGGTGATATGGAAGTGCCAAAGTGGAAATGTGACTGAGGAAATAAATTGCAAGGATAAAACAATCATGCTGCACAGGACAGTTTGTCTTGGATACATCCTGACCAAGCCACACCAAGAAAGTGACTTATAAAATTTTCCAACTGAGATTCCAGAATAACACTGTGTTCCGTTCCCTAGGAAAAGAAACTGGTTAGGAAATACAAACTGGCACTTGCACCGTTTTTTCACCCAAATGTAATACTACAATCCACCACTTGGTGGCGTCCCAAAACTGGAACAAAATAGCTCAGGAAATTATCTCGGAAGTCAAGGCCCCTTATGAACAAAGCAGCTGTGTTTAATCTTGTATCTTATCAAAGAATCTCAATGTAAATGAGGAAATCTGTACTGAATACATGACTTCTTTAAAAAGTTAAAAATAACTTGCGCAAGCTCAAGAACCTGAGTTCATCCCTGCACCAAAAAAAAAAAAAAGTTAAAAATAACTGTCACAGACACATCAGTTTAAACAAAAGATTCCAAAGCATATATATATGTTTTTTAAAATTTTCTTTTTTCCCCCTCAAAGTGTATACTTTCTTTTTTTTCTTGGTACCAGGGAGGGACCTTGCCCTTGTGAGGCAGGTGGCAGCATCACTGAACTAAATCCTTGGCCACTAAAGTGTATACTTTAAAAAAAAAAAAAATCTAGCACCATACTAATAGAACTATTCTATTCTAATAGTTCTATTTCTGCACTGTCCAGTATGGTAGCCATTAGTCTAATGGGCTATAAATTAGTGTGACTAAAGAACTGGAATTTCAATTTTGTTTAATGTTAATTAAAAATTCAATAGTTACAATGTATTATGCTTGATAATGCAGTTCTAGTATTTAAATTAAAAATGACTGCCAGGGATTTAGCTCAGTGGTGCTGCGCCTGCTTTGCAAGCACAAGGTCCTGGTTCAATACCCACACCAAATATAAATAAATAAATAAATAAAATAAAAATAAAAAATGACTGCAGCCAGCTGTGATGGCATGTGTCCAATAGTCCCAAACTAATCTGGAGGCTGAGGCAGGGGACTTGCCAAGTTTTGAGACCAGCCTGGGCAACACGGAAAGTCCCAGCTTCAAAAATTTTAAAAAAGAAAGAAAGAAAAAAGGAAAGAACAAACAAAAAACTTGGATAATCATTATTTCAATGTTATGTGAATTTTGGCTGAATTAAAAAAAAAAAAAACTTGGGCCGGGGATTTAGCTCAGTGGTTGTGGCACCTGCCTCACAAAAGCAAGGTCCTGAGTTCATTCCCCAGTACCAAAAAAAAACAAAAACAAAAAACAAAAAAACCCTAAAGGGTTTTGAAATGAATTTTCTAGCCGGGTTTAGTGGTGCATGCTTGTAATCCCAGTACTTGGGAGGCTGAGGCAGGAGGACTACATGAGTTGGAGGCCAGGTTGAACTACAGACTGAGGCTCTGTCTGAAAAAAAAAAAGATTTTCTTCTGTAATGGTCAGAGAATTTGAATATTTTTCATTAACGTTCTGTTGTCAGTTGTAAAATGAACTTATTTGCCGCATAAAGTTGAGGGCAGGGGAATAGCTCTACACGGTGGAGCGGATGCTTAGCATTCTTAAGACCTTGGGTCAAATCTCTAGCACACACACACAAAAAAAGAGTTGAAACTACTTTTTTTTTCTTGAAACTTACTTTTTTAAAGATAGAAATCAGTGAAGGAATGCTATGCAGATATATATGCTCTATATACAGAACAGTTAGTTTCCTAGTAAGGAAAATGATGTACTATGTCTGACATGCTGGCTGTTGTTTGTTTAATTTTATGATGATGATTTAAGGCTATCAGAGATGCTGAGCTTGGTTTCTGGTTTCATTATACGTTCATCAGTAATACTGATTAATACTGAAGTGGGGTATGGAACTAGAAGGCTACTGCTATAATTGGACTGTCAGTCTATTAAAATGCAAATTGATTAACAAGTTTCATTTTGCTATTATGCTACTTTTCCTTTCTTCTCTGGGCCCTGGTAACTTTCTAAATTGTATTCATATCCATAGAGGCAACAATTTTTCAAGTTAGATTTGTATCCAATCCTTTGGACCCTATCAGTCAAAATATAGTTCAGTAAGTTTGTAAATTTAGCAGTAATGGACCAGGTCCAAATCTTAAATGGATTTCTGGTGAGATTCAAATATTACAGGCAACTTGGCCACCTTCTGAAGTGCAGCTCAGTCTTTATTTTCTACCAGTTCAGAGTAGAACCCACTTTGAACTGTTTATATACAGTATCTCACCTAAGATTTAAAACTCTAATCTTTTCCCTCCACCCTCTACTCAGCAGCAAACACTTTATATTTGGAAATCAGCTGCTCAGCAGAGCACCGAAGCACCTCTCAGAGTGGGGAGAGTGTCAAAAGCCAGCCCACAGTTGGACTACTAAATGGAATATAATCAAATCAAATGCCTTTCATCCTATTCTCTTTCTAACTCTCAAAACTACTATAGTATCGCTCCATATACAAAATAGTCAGCAGAGCTTAAAAATAGAAACCAGAATTAGTACAAGGCTAACTTTAAATACGCAGTGCCTGCTGAGGTGGAAAGATACACCAAAGCAATTTGTAGCTCTAAAGATTTGGGTTAAGTATTTATTTACTTACTTATTTTTCCTTTTGGTCCAGAGGACTGACCCCAAGGCCTTGCACATGCTAAGCATGAGCCCTATCAGTGGGTTGTTTTGCACACTATTACCAAATGGTACATGCGAATTTAACCTTGGACTGTAACTGCTCTCTGACGCAGGCATTAACTGATGGCCTGAACCACTTAAGTACATGTTTCAGAATGAATTAAATATTACCATGGATTCCTTAAAGGTCATCCAACTTCCTCCTCGTATAGATGACAAAACTAAGGGAAAGAGCTGGGCGTGGTGGTGGCGTGCCTTGTAATCCCAGCATTCAGGAGGCTGAGGCAGGAGGAACCGAGAGTTCAAGGCCAGCCTGAACTACATAGCAAGACTGTGTCTCAAAAAACCAAAACAAACAAACAACCCCCATCCCAAAGAAAAAAACCCTGAGGCATCAAGACAATTTTAGCTTATCTGCTGTGATTGTTGTTTTGAGACAAGAGTTTCACAATGTAGTTCAGGCTGGCCTGAAACTTGCAGCGATCCTCCTGCCTCAGGCTCAGGAGTGTTGGAACTGAGGCAACTCAGCATAGTGGTTAAGAACTGACTGAAGCCTCTCTGCTTGGGTTCGTGTCTTGGTTTTGCTATTCTACTATGACTCTGGACAAATCACTTAAACTTTCTATTTCTGTTGTCTCACTTGTGAAATGGGGTCAGTAAATAGTGACTATGTTACAGAGGTGTTATGAAGCTAAAATGAATACATGTAAAGCAACTGGAAAAGTTTCAAGTTTAGCAAACACAAGATTCTTTTATTCCCCCCAATATAGATCCCAGGTTTTTTTTCCTTTTTGGTACTGAGGGATTAAACCCAGAGCCTCACACTGAATTACATTCCCAGCCCTTTTTATTTCTTATTTTGAGACAGGGTTTAAATTGCCCAGGCTGAACTCAAACTTGCCATTCTCCTGTCTCCTGAGTGTCTGGGATTACAGGTATGCACAACTGTACCTGATGTTCATACTTATGTCCCAACACACTTGCTCATGGGAAAAGTTTTAATTCTCTCCATCTGATGTAGGCACAGCAAACTCCTAAAGGGGAAAGGGTCTGCTCGGGATTCACCTCTATTGTGCCCTTCACAACCTACCACTTGAACTACAGTCCAGCCGGGACACTTTCATTTCAAGGTTCATATTTGGAAGAATCCTGTCATCTTAGGAAGGGGAAAGGGATTCTTTCTATCCTCGAGGCCTAGTACAGAAGCAGTATCACAGCATTTCCAGGATGAATGATTTGTAAATAACAGGACAAAGGCTGGCATCTCGCATAGGTTAAGTGGGGGTTGGAGAAACGATGTCACCAAAGTTGGCTCATTGTTTTTTCTTTCTCATTGTGTAGATTTCTTTACACAAATCTATCTTCCACTAGACTCCCAGGCCCTCAGGAGGTATTCAGGCTATATAGGCCTGGCAATACAGGCCTATTTTTTTTTCTTTTTCTTAAAAACGATCCTTCCCTGAAGCCGGGTGTCGTGCCGCTTGCCTGTCATCCTAGTAGATGGGAGGCTGAGGCAGGATGGCCGCAAGTTGGAGGCCAGCCTGACTGTATAGTGAGACCCTGCCTCAAAAATAAAAAAGGGTTGGGGCCGGGGATTTAACTCAGTGGTTTTGCTGCCTGCCGCGCAAGCGCAAGGATCTGAGTTTGATCCCTGGTACAATAAATAAATAAATAAATAAATAAATAAAACGGGGCTAAAAAAAAATCTTTTCCCTGAAAAAGCGCTCGTTAAAAATATAGGATGAAGGAAGTTCCTATCCCAGTACAAAGGCAAATTATGATAAGCAATTGTTAAATTCCACCATTAATAAATCATTCCACTGTTTTACTTAATCAGCTGTATTACAATCCAAATCAAATAGATCCTGCCGCTCTACCTGGGCAGAGTGGACAGACAGGAGCAGAGCGGAGAAGAGTCCACATCAACTACCAAACTAACACCAAGCCACGATTCCCCTGCAGCTCAGGCCCAAGAAGGGGACGGCAGGAAGCCGCCCCACTGCGCAGGCGCCGCCCATCGGCCCGCATGCGCACTAGTCCAGCGCGGCCTGAGGAAATTTCCTTTTACACGCCCGCGGCGGCAGCCTCCTGTGTCTCCTCCTACCTGCTCCATTTTCCTAGACCCTGCAGGTAGGATCCCAGGGGTCGAGTCCCTTTTCACCAAGCTCTTAAAAATCCTTCAAACCTCAAGCCACTTACCTCAGCGGCTTTGGCCCTTTCCCTCACAGCCCCACCCCCAGAGCCAGTCTGAGCAGTCGCGCTCACAACGAAGACAGCGGCGTGCTCCCGCTAGAGGAAGGCCTCCACTGCGTGCGCGCTCCCGTAGAGTGGTGGGCGTGGCCGGGCGGAGAGGCGTGGTAGAACAAGCTCCTGGAGTACGCTTTCGTGTTTCTTCTTTCCGCGTTCAGCCTTAGTTTTCTTTTCTGTCTTTTTTTTTTTTGGTACTGAGGATCGAACTCGGGTCCTTGTGCCTGGGAGGCAGGTGGCGGAACCACTGAGCTAAATCCCCGGCCCTGCCTTAGTTTTCTTGGGGCAGTTGGCCTCCTCCTTTTCTTGTTTCTGTTTATGATTTAGAGTTTAAGCCTCTCTCGCGATATTGCGAAGAATACTGTTTTTCTCTTCAAATCTTCTTGAAACAGGGTTAGATTAACGATTCCCTTCTGAGCAGTCTCGGTCTAGGGCCGAGCAGGAAAGGTAGATGACTTAAAATAGCCTCTTCCTCTAGAACTTCTGGTCTGAAAACTCAGCATTAAAGGCTAGTTTTATGGGGAGCTTTCTTGGGAGAGAGGGAAGGGTTTGGGGAATAGAGGAGTAGCTTGTAATGTCATTAGACTTGCTAATTATGTCCTATCTTGTTATTTCTCAAAACAGGAAACCTCTCTGATTCTGTAAGCAGAAAAACTACCAATTAAAGAGACTTGCTGAGGGTTGGGCTGAGCATTAGTGTGTTTAGTAAGAGTTGATCTGTTTTCTTTGGAACCCTTAAGTATTTGGGGCTTCAAGACTATCCAAGTCTTTGTGGTATGATAAATATGGTGAATATTTAAATTAAAAGTAAAAACGTTTATTACTATAAAAGGCATCCCATCAATCCCTCTCAAAATCTTCCCCTTCGAGCACACTTACCTAAAGCAGTTCTGGAAGTCCTCTTCGGTGTCTTTTTGTGGGTATCTCAATATCCTGAAAAGATTCAAAACATTTACAGCAGTTTCTGTGAAATAAAAACGTTCCTAGCCAGGCGTGGTGGTGCACACCTGCAATCCCAGCACTTGGGAGGCTGAGACAGGAGGATTGCAGGTGAATTCGAGGCCAGCCTGGGCTACATAATGAGTTCAAGATCAGCCTGAACTACATGGGGTTAGACTCTGTCAAAACAAATACAAAAACATACAATCCCATACAGTATGAGATAAGTGTTTGAAGCAAGGGTGAGTTTTTTTGGTTTTTTTGGTACTGGGGATCAAACTTGGTATCTTGTGCTTGCAAAGCAGGTGATGGAACCACTGAGCTAAATCCTGGGCCCAAGTGTGAGTTTTTTGAGGAGGATTAATGGCAATGTGTCTTTTAGTGTAAAAAAATTTTTATGTAAACAGTCACAGTACTTTTGGATCACACCTTGTTTGTGTGGTAGGAACAATGCTAGAACTTAACCATAGGTTGCCCATAAGGAATCTTTGTTTCCTATAGTATTATCCTTACAGTATTATTTTGTGGTGCTAGAGGTGGAGATCATGTCCTTGCCCAGACTTTACCACTGAACTGCATCCCTAGCCCCTCCTAAATTACTGATTTACTAAATAGTGACTGGAAGCTGGTCTTCTTGGGAAGGGATTTATAGTTTGTTGGGCAGTGGCCAATAGAATTGGACTCCTCCCCTCTGTAGTGTGTTGGTCTGAAAACCACTTTCGTTAAAGTTGTATTTCAACTGTATTTTGACAAGCAACTGGATCTGGTTGTCAGGCATGTACTTCTAGCACCTGTAAAAGTACTTAGGCTTCTCCTTCCCATCTCATAGATATGTGTATTAGGTATCCTTCATTGCCTTAATGATCATACCGAAAATGCTTAGATGAACATAGAAGATTGCAGTTTGTTCCTTTTAAGTTAAACTAATAAAGATACCTCCATTTTCTCTTTCACAGTCATGGACAGGTTGTAGATAAAAGCCTTTTAATCACTTTCTCTAGGTTGAGAGTTTAAACTTTATTTCACTGTCCAGAGAGCCAGGATGCAATGGTGTGGTGGGAAACTGATGTCCAGCTATGTCTTTTTGGGTCCATATAATGATCCCATGTATAGGGTTTTTATTTCTGATTAAACATGGGTGAGATGCTAATTTATTTTTTGGGACTTCACTAGAATATTACTAGGAGAAAGTGAAATGGAAGTTCTGCGCCCACAGATTATAACAATTGATGGAAGGAATTACAGGAAGAATCCTATCCAAGAAAAGATTTACCAACATGAGGAAGATGAGGAGGATTTCTATCAAGGTAATCCTGGTGCTCTTTGGTCAGATTAGAAGTAAAATGTCCTTTTTATTGTGGGGACAATTGTTTGTTTGTTTCACTGTATTTCTAGAAGTGCTAGCACTGAAATTAATGTTTCAGGGGATGAAATGGATGGTTCTCATAGTGTAGATGTTCAAAGGTAATGACGCGCTAGAGTCTGAGACATTCTCGGTTGCAGTTTGTAAATCATGTTTTATCTTTGTATAAAAATTTAAATGGCTGGGTGTGGTGACACATGCCTGTAATCCCAGCATTCAGGAGTCTGAGGCAGGAGGATCACCACCAGTTCAAGGCCAGCCTGGACTACACAGTGAGACTCTGTCTCAAAAAACCAAAAAAATTAAAAAACACCCCCCCCCCCCAAAAAAACCCTTAAATGTGACAAAGGGTTTATTTTGTTTTGGTTTTTTTGTGGTTCTTGTTTATTTGCTGTACTGGGGATTGAACCAAGGCCTTTGCATGAACTATATCCCCAGACCTTTTTAATTTTAATTTTGAGATGGGGTTTCCCTAAATTGAGGCATGCACCACCACACCTGGCTACAAGGGGTAATTTTAATGTATATATTACAAATAAAAGGACATGTATAAAGGATTTAGATCATTGACCAGTAATGTTGGCTGTTGTTAACTGTATTATTTTACTTCTTTGCGTAGATGAGAATTCCAAAAATACAACTAACTTTATTATAATATATGGTCATTTTAAGAAATAAACCAAACAGTTGAGCCGGGTTATAAATATTGTCAGGGTGGTTACTTTGGGCTTGGGTGTAGTGCATAAGCAGGGCGTGCTCTCTGTGGTGCGTAGAACTTTAAAGCTGAGCCAGGCTGACACCTAGGGGAAGGCCGTGTCCATGGGGCAGCGGCACATTTCTCAGGCGCTGTGGTTTCTGTGCAGACTCCATGGAGGGTGCTGATGAGCCCTGTGATGCCTACGAGGTGGAGCAGACCGCGCAGGGGTTCAGAGCGACTGTGAGCGCCCCCAGCGTGCTCTACAAGTGAGTGTGTGGGTCCCTGGCAGCAGCATGGGCAGGGCTCCCAGGACACTCCAAGGGAGGTGGACTGTATCCTCCACACTTATTGCAATGCCTGATTACTCATGATAAAATGTTTTATGTCCCAAAACATCAAAGGACTGTTACAGGTTAATGTCATCATTCCACCTGTGCTGCTGAGTCCTGCTGATGCAGTCCCTTCAATATCCTTTGACCTGTCGCTTAAATCTGTCCTCACTGCCACCCTTCTGCCTTTTTTTTCCATTAAAGTGGCCACTCACTGGTCTTTCCACATTGCTTCTTGCTCTACCCAGTCAGTTCGTCATGTGGAGGGTGCAGTGGTTTACTTGTTTTTTATTTTTGTTACTGGGGATCGAACTCGGGTCCTTGCGCTTGCGGAACCACTAAGCTAAATCCCTGGCCCAGCAATGGTTTTTTAAAAGGCAAAGTTGGTTGTTTTGCCACCTTTGCTTAAACTGCATCTGGACCTGCTAGTGAAGATGGGTGCTAGTCTGTTAGCACAGTGAGCATGACTTCGTGGGCCCTGCATTTTTTGGTCTTAACTCACACCACTCTTTCTCTTACCCACCTGGTTTTCTTAGTTCCTTAAATAGCCTATGTTCCTTCCCACTGTAGAGCTTTTGCATGTGCTGTTCCTTTGCCTTTGTATGGAACAGGGGAAGGGGACGTTACCAGAACCTCTGCAGTAAGTCCTAGTCTCCTGTGAGCCACAGCAGCACACGGCGAATGACAGGAAAGGTAGACAAATGAGACTGAGAAGAAGCTGAGCTTTGGGTCTGATCAGTGCTGCTCTGTGCAGCAAAGACAAAAGCCCTCCTAGTTTGCAGCACCTTTTATTCAGTACATGGGGAAACAAAAGTAACAAGTGAAAATGTAGAGTTCAGTACTTCACATTGGGATAAACAAGGTGTAACAAAAGGCTGGGGGGCCGTGGAAATCTAAGAACAATGAGGAATTATGCAGATGAAGATTTGGTTCCTCCCTGGCATCTCCCGCAGGTGTGGTCTTGTCCTGGAGATTACAGCATCTGGGGATCACTGAGGTCTCAGTTGTTACCAGAGGCCAAAATGCAATTATGTCTGGAATGTCCTAGCTGGGCTGCAGGCGGGAGAACTAGGCCTACTCAAATGATTTTTCCCTAGAATTATGTAGCATTGCTCCCAACATGCCTTAGAATCTTTTCTCTTTTTCAACTATTTATCTCCTTCCCTAGGGGAGCTGGCTCTGCTCCAGTCATCCCTGCCAGCCGGTGCCCTACTGTTTGTTTTCATAGCACCTGTCTTGGTCACTTTCTCATTGCTGAGACACAGTATCATCGCCCACAACGTAAGGGAGAAGAGGTTTATTTTGGCTCGTGGTTGCAATCCATGTTTGGCTGGCTCCAAGGCAGAAAACAGCATGGCAGAGGGGCAGCAGAGGAAAAGCTGCTCAAGTCATGGTGGCCAGGAAGCAGAGAGAGAAAGTTGGAGCTGGGGAGGGAAATACACCCTCCAGGCAGCCCTAGTGACCTGCCTCCATCCAGGCCCCGCCTCCTAATAGTGCAGCAGCCTAGTCACCTTCCAAAAAATCCACCTCTGACTGTACGAGGCTCTTGAGGGACATCTAGATAAAAACCACAGCAGCACCTCTGCTGTTCCTTTGTAGCATTTATCATAGTCCTTGTTTGTTTTTATTTGTGTGGTATTTTATTGGTGTCTTCTCCACTAGGTAGGAAGATTTTTGAAGGCAGAAGTGTGTCTGTTCCATTCCCCACCCCTCTTTTTTTTTTTTTTTTTTTTGGTACCAGGGATTGAACTTGGGTCCTTATGCTTGTGAGGCAGGTGGCAGAACCACTGAGCTAAATCCCCGGCCCCTATATGTTGCTGGGAAGCTTTGTGATCAGTTCAGTCTGTGCTTGCTTGTGCATGTCTATCCACATTCTGTCCGGTGTTGACCATGACAGAATAGTCAGTTTATGTGGCTGATATGATTTATAGCTAGATGTCCCCACGAAGCGTTGGGGATCATAGGTGGGGCTTTTGGGAGATGATTGGTTTATGGGAGTAAAGGTGCTGTTAGGAGATGGGGCCTGATTGGAAGAGGCAGCTCTCTGGGTGAGTGGCCTGGAACGGTGTCCCTCCTTCCCTGGCTCCCCCTTCACTCTCTGCTTTCTGGATGCCATGATGTGCCAAGGCCCTCCGCCTTCCACTGTGCCCACAACCGTGCAAGTTCTAAACTTCTAAAATATGAACCAAAATAAACCTTTCTTCCTTTAAGTTGCTTTGGGCATTGTGGCTTAGCAACAAAGAAAGTGACTAAGAGAGTGGCTGACTGGCTTTTTTGGGGCTTATATTTCTAAAAATCAGCTGGTCCTTAAAGTCCACAAATTATATTATTGTGTCTCTGTGTTACACAGGATGCATTAGGTCCATTTTGGGAGGGAAATCTACAAATATGAAATCATACACATCTAAGTTCCACCAGTCAAATAGTTTTGTTTTCATTAACCTTGAGAATGTTCTGAAGTACATTTAAGGATGAAATTTCTCCAGGAATGTGAACAAATGGGAAACTAGAATTAACCTGATGGCATACTTTCCTCTCAGACCCTGGTGACATTTTCCCCTAAGAAACATGGTTTTAGAAAGTCATGACCCAGTTTCTTTAAAAAACAAAACAAAACAATGTAATATGTCTTAATTTATATATGGACTACTAATGTGTAAAAATTTCCTTAGATGTCTGATTCTAACTTGATGATATTTCAAATTCTGTATGTACTAAATACTCGTTATGCACTAGATGACTTGGATGTTAGATTAGATATTGGCTCTGCTGAATTCTAATTAGTAGACAGTATTTACTAGGAAGATTTCTTCTGAATCATTTCTGTAGGCTTATTTGGGTCAAGGAAGAAATTGTCCCAACAAACTCATTTATAATCAAAGCCTAGTGTTGACAACACCTGTCCATGGAACATATCTAATGCTCTGGGTCCTGGCCTCAGATTACATTAAGATCACCTGTGGGTTTAAAAAAAAAAAAAATCCAAAGTCTGTGTGCACCCCCGACCAATGAAATCAAAATCTCTTGAGAGCAGGACCTGGGCATCATTAATTTTTGAGGCCCTTTGTGTGACTCCATTGTGCAAGATAGAAAAAGACTTGATTGGTAGGAATTTCCATACATATTTAACCAAGGAATTTCCTTTTTTTTTTTTTTTTTGGTACAGGGGATCCAACTCAGGATCTTGCACTTGTGCGACAGGCGCGGTGCCACTGAGATAAATCCCTGGCCCGGAATTCCTCTTTCACTGCTTGCCTGTATTAGTGTAGTGAATATTTTAGACTTTCCATGTAAATGTCTTTTGAGGCTGGCTATACTTTTACCTGAGACTCACCAAGGATAGCATGGAGTAAATGACGCTTTGTGCCAGTCCCTGGGAAGCTCTTTCATATGTGATCACATTTACTCCTTGCAAGAATTTTGTGATAATGTAGGGGTTATTCTTGCCTCCATCATTATCATCATCATCATCATCATTATCATCATCATCATCATCCTGGTGCTAGAGATTGAACCCAGATCTTGTGCATTCTAAGCACAAGTGAGGAAATAGAGTGGCTAGATGACTTGCCTAAGGTTTGTTTGATTCTAAGGCCTGTTGGGCCTCAGTTGCTTTGCTTTCTAAGGTGCTGAGGCCTAGATTATGACTAACACTTTGAGCTAACTGCTTTTTGTGATAGGCTTGTCCACTAGCTGCCTACCAGCAATCAGGAGCCTGATTAAAAGCACTCCTAACTGATAAGGCCTGGGAGGCAAAGGCCTGACAGACTGGTGCTGAATACTCTCTAGCCCACCACAGAAGAAAACCATGTGGAAATTGTGGAGTTCCAATACTGTCCTAAACATATTTTTTAAAATTTTTGTTTTTTTGAAACTGGGTCTCATTCTGTAGTTCAGGCTGGCCTTGAACTTACTGTGTAATCCCAGGCTGGCCTTGAACTTGAGAGGATCTTCCTACCCCAGCCCCAAGTGTGGGGATTGCAGGTGTGTGCCACCATAGCCAGCTCTGTTTTGTTTTTTGTGGTGCAGGGGATTGAATCCAGGGCCTTGTAGATGCTGGAAAGTACTTTACTGTTGAGCTATATTCCCAGCCTAAAATCTAACTTTTTAAAAAACTGGCTTATTGCAGTAGATCTTAATGGAAATAGTTAGGCTTGATTGTCCTGTGTGAAAACAAGTGAATAAGGGCTGTATAGCTCAGTGATGGAGTGCATGCTTGGCATATGTAAGGCCCCAGGTTCAATTCCCAGCACCCCCCATCCCATAAAAGAATAGTTTTAGACATAATCATCCATGGTAATGGGTGTGTAATTGGAATCATAGAAGTTGAAATAATGTTGATGACAGAGTTCTTAACGTTATATTCCTTTGATGGTCTCTTAGTGCTTCATACACTTGTTCACTTTGACACTTTGACATGTGTAATTACTGTGGGTTCCAGAACATGACTGGAGTGTCACAATTATGATTACTAGGAGGCCCAGGCAGTTGAGCTACATGAATTAATAACTGGAGTGGGGTAGATGTACGATAGCAGGAGGGATTGTGATGAGCTCATGTCTCATCCTCAGGTACTAGAGGGTTGGCTCCAGCCTGTCATTACCATGAGTCAAATCTTCTAGTTTTTCTCAAGAACCTGCACATATATATATATTTTAGGTGAAATCTCCCCCCGCCCCCGGCCTAAAAAAAGTCTGTGTCCAGAATTCACCTTGAGGGTTTACTCTCTTTGCTTTTGAATCTATCCTGAATGACATGCTCTTCGCTCTGCTAACCTGTTTACCCTTAATCAAGGATCTTTCTCTAACTTGTTTACCCTAATCAAGGATCTTTCTCTTAGGATAAACTCATAATATAGTTAATTTCTCCTCTAGAATGTACCAGGTTCTCCTGCCTCAAACTGTGGCCCCATCGATTCATAGAAATGCTCTTTGAGAGTGTGCCAGATGTCTTTTCACTGCATACAGACCTAGATTTTTTTTTTCAGTATCAGGGATCGAACTCGGGACCTTGCACTTTCGAGGCAGGTGGCGGCACACTGAGCTAAATCCCCAGCTCCCAGACCTAGATTTTGAATCTGAGTTTGAGAAGCAAACAGGACTTGGGTCTGGTCAGTCTATGTACATATTGAATTAGTAATAAGGAGTCATTTTGCCAGTGAGTGTAATACAGAGTGTTTTATAAAGCTAGATAGTTTTGATTTTCTCTACTAATAGTGAACTTCTACTGAAGCAGTTTTCTGTAAGGGAGGATCTCTGACTACAATGAAGTTAAACATGGTGAGAGTCTTTGTTCTGAAATATTTTTAATCGCCTGTTAATTTTTCTTCATATTTGTAGGCATATAGTTGGAAAGAGAGGGGATACTAAGAAGAAAATAGAAATGGAGACCAAAACTTCTATTACCATTCCTAAACCTGGACTAGACGGAGAAATTGGTGAGACTCAGTCTGTATAAGTTATGTTTGCATGCGAATGGAGCAGGGTAACTCAGCTGAATCATTTAATGACTTTATTCTCTAAAACTCAGTAGCTGTTGGCCTTTTTTTCTCTTTTTCAGTACAGAGGATTGAACCCAGGGCCTTTGCACTGAGGTACATCCTCAGCCATTTTTATTTTTTATTTTGAGATAGAGTATCAGTAAGTCACTAAGTTGCCAGGCTGGGCTTGCACTCAGAATCTTCCTGCCTCAGGCTCCCAGAGTGCTGTCAGTCTCCCAAATGAGCATAGATGTGCACAACCTGTTCTGATTTTGTACCTGGGCCTTGATTTTGACTTGACCATGTGCTATTAGTAGGGTGAAACTTCCAGATTTCCTTGTGCGTTAGATTTCTTTTTTGCTTTGGTATCTTCAAAGGCTGTTTGCTTATTGTTGTAAGGTAGAACCAGAAAAAGTGATTTAGATCAGGGAATATGAAACAATGTTCAGCCCCTTTGGTATGTGTTCTCTTAAGATTTTTACTCTTGCTGTGTTAGACCAGCAAGAAGATGCTAAGATATTGTAAGACTACCTAAGATAAAGTGATATAATTGCATAATGATAATAACAGAATCTGATTCAAATAACTGCTCAGAGAAGGAAGAACACTTTGGTGGTATAAATCAAGCCACAGGGTGTCTGTAACCAGGTTTCACTGTGAACCAGAGACACAGACTTTAGTGTCGAAATGAGTCAGGGGCACTGTGGGGACAAAATTGTAAAATGCATTCTAAAATGATAGGACTTCTTCAAAGAAGCAGCTTCCAGTGATTTCTTTTCTTCCCCTCCTCCTCCTACTCTTCCTCTCCCTGCCCTCCTCTTTTCTCTTCTTTTTTTTTTTTTTGAGATGGGGTCTCAAACTTCTGGGCTCAAGTGTTCCTTCTGCTTCAGCCTTCTGAGTAGCTGGGCACGTGTCAGGCATGGATCAACATGCCCATCCACCAAGAATCCACTCTCCATCAATATCCCTACATTTTGGCAGAAAGAATTACAAGTACTTTTTTTTTTTTTAATGGATGAGAGATTTACTTGGCTCCTGTACAAGTACTCTTTTTATTGTGTGCTTATATGCATAGTCACCTTTCTAGGTAAGTAGCCATGGACTTTAGAACAGTGCTGTCCCAAAGAACTGTCTGTGATGCCCAGAATGTCCCATACTGCACTGGCAGCCACATATAGCTATGACCCTTGAAACATGGCCAGTGTGACTGAGAAGCTGAAGTTTCAGTTTTATTTAATTTTACTTCATTTAACTTGCTGCATGTGGGTCCCACATTGGAGAGTGCAGTGCTAGAGTTTCCCTAGCCCTTTGGGAAGTTGAGCAAACTCTCACAGAGGAACGTTTAGCATCACTTTAGAAGGATTTTTAGTAAAATCAATATTTGGTTCATTAGACTTATAAGTGCTAATCTTGAGTTTTTCCTTAAGCTTTAAAATGTAAGTTACCAATCATGTGTGGTGGCACACGCTTGTAGTCCCAGAACTCTGGGAGGCTCATTAGGAAAAAGGAAAACAGAAGTATGGGCTCAACAGGACAGGTTTATTTCAGAACAAACCAGAGAGAGACCGCTGTGGCACTAGAGACCAGACCAGCTAACTCTCTTTATCCAGTTTCCAGTTGATGGGCACTTGGGCTGTTTCCAAGCTTTAGCTATTACAAACTGTGCCGCTGTAAACATGGGTGCACATATTGCTTTTTTATTTCTTTTTTGGTACCCGGGATCGAACTCAGGTCCTTGCGCTTGTGCAGCAGGTGGCGAAACCACTGAGCTAAATCCCCGGCCCTGTGGTATGATTCTTTTAATTCTTTTGGGAAGATACTCAGCAGGGGAATAGCTGGGTCAAATGGGACCTCTAGCCCTAGTTCTTTGAGGTATCTCCATACTGATTTCCA